AACCGTGAATTCTTCAATTCTAATCGTTTGATATCTCTTTCGTTCTTTTTTCCCTTTCCCTTTCCACTATTGACGTGTGGCGTCCTCCTATTGATTCCTCACCCTGGAGTTGACTTTTCCACCCGTAGAGCATATTCTCAATCATACCCGGTCTGAGCAGTTCCCATCAATACAATTCGATATTATTACTTGATACCCAACCCCCACTCCGGCCTGCGCGCCTTGAATAAGTCTTCCTCTTCAAACATCTCATGCGTTAGCCTGCTCCAGAGTTCCGAGTTGTCCAAACATCCACTCGGCTGTTTACTTTGAATCTCCAGATTTACTCTGCGGTCTAGTATCCATATAGATACCGACCTCAAGTCTACCAATCACAATGCCGAGCCTCTTCGCTCGAATAAGGGGCAAGGATGGCCCAAGACTGAAGTCCAAAAAGAATGCCAATCTCAACGATTTAGCCCACCAATTGCCTAACAAGCCGCGCTGGGACGATGCGTACACGCGAACGACAGTAGAACCAGAGGAGGTCCAAGAATTAATAAAACGTTGCACAGATGAGCTCAAATCGAGAGGTGTGAATGGCATATTCTCCCCATCTTAGCTAGACCAAGCTAATTCGTTCGCGACGTACAGGTCTCGATCTTCCCTTTCTCCTTCTCCCATTTCGCCCTACATCTGACCCTAGCGCCGTGCGCACTTTTATCCGCCACTTTTTCGATGAGAACCAGAACCTACACGGCGAGGCCCTCTTGCAGGAGCTGCGGATGACCGAGCCAATGGTATGTCTCGCTGGATCGAAATGCGCTGCTATGACAGACCATAGTTATTGACATATGGTTAGGTTATCTCTGGCGTTCTTAAATGGTGCTGGAGCAGACTGCCAGGTGGTATTGTGGGCTGGGATGCCTACGAGCTGTTCAGAGTTGGAGAGCAAGGTATGCATAATTTGTTTGGTGGAAATGTGAGAAACGTGCTAAGGGAGTACTTGGCTTAGACTCGAGTATGGCGCGGGATTCCTTCTCGACTTTTATTCCATTGAGCGTCGAAAATCAGGCCCGCTCCCACATTATCTTTGATTATTTCGATTTACTCTCGGCCATCGCTGCTCACGGCAAATCGAATGGCTTCGGCGGACGTAAACTGTCTCGTATGGCGGCTTGGTGGGCCTTCGAACACAAGGACACCGGCAATGGTTTTGAGGGTGGATATAAGTTTTGGTTGAGGTTTGTACAACTTTGAAGTCAACTCCATGCATACGAGGATGCTAATAAAACCTAGCGCTGCGGACGCTACGAGCCATCTTTTCTTTGCTTATCTCAGGTCCTTGGCCCCCCAGCAAGCTCGTGCAGGTATATCTATGCTCCCCATGTCCTTGCAGAAATTGCTGCAGGAAACCGAGTATCCCCCGCAGACGCCATCCTTGTTGATGACATCGACATACAAGGTTGTTATGATCGTTGACACTGTGTCCCCGACACCATTTGCGCTCCTGCGTCGTGCTAATCACTTCCAATATCGTGATGAGGACCAAGCACTTCGAGAGTTTTCCGAGTACGAGGATCCCGTGACAGCCTTGACTGAAGAATGCCGCAGAGTTCTTAAGGCGATATCTCTTGCGAATCAGTCTCAGGTGTCTAGCTCGAAGCACTCTACTAGTCTACGAGATGCTTCGTGGTCGCGATTTGAAGACATCGGTTTTGGGGATACCCTAGAAGAGGAGGATGAGGACGAGGAAACGGTCAAGGTTACCCACCTTCGAAATCCCCGCGGTCTACGAACTACGGCCGCATCAGGCGGGAATCTTGGCAGGCCAACTACGCCCTCTTGGGCAGACTTCCTATCATCTGGCTTTGTCGACGATGCGCCGAATAGTCCGTCGAACCTCTTACTTCCACCTGATAAGATCCTACCGCCCATTGAAACGACTGTCAGGCAACGAAGCTCACAATCGCACCGCCCACGACTAGAAAGCGATCGTCATCTGGAACCTGGTGAATTAGCTAGTATCAGTCGGTTTGATCTTGATGAAGCATTCTGGTGGGTATGGATGAGCAGCTTAGCCCCTGAGGAGACGGCGGAACGCAAATCGGCGTTCGGAAGATGTTCCGTTGTCGAGACAGTTATTCGACATGGTCGATGGCTCGTGATGGAGGAGATGGTGAAAGGCGCCGCCCCAGAACCCGATGCCGGTGCCTACATTGCAGAGAAAAAGGGCCTATTCAGTTGGACGAGGCGTGGTAAAGGCGTTTCCCGTAGCAAGTCAACATCAAAGCCCTCTAGCACTAAGACTGACCACTTGAGTCCCGGTGGTGCCATGGGCGCCGGCTTGAGCAAGACTAGCATTGGACCAGATCAACAAGCCAAGATACAGGCAGAAGCACAAAAGCTTCGAGCTAAGCAACTCCAAGAACAGCAGACTGCACAGAAAGCGGAACGACGTGGACGTACGGATGCTGAGGTGATGAAAGAGAAGACAAATAGCATACTCACTTTGCAGCCAGGTGTGGTGAACGTGGCTTCACCGGCTATGAAATGGGCGAACAAATACGACAAGGAGGCGATTCGCGAGGCATACCTCGGCAACGCATTTGCTGGCCGTGGCATATCCCAAACCTCGCTTCAGATGCCCACTCATCCTCCAACGAACGGGCAAACGGTAAATGGCAGTGGCCCTAAGCCAGTCGCTTCAGATGTAGTTTCACCTGCGCCAGAATCAGAGCAGAAGGCTCCGGTAGTACAATCGCCTCCTCCGGCTCCAGCTCCAGCTCCAGCTCCGGTCCCAGTTCCAGAAAAGAAGCTTGAAGCCCCGCTACCAGTCCATCCCGCCGAGCGGTCAGAACCCACAGGTCGAAACTCGCCTTTACCTCCTGCCCAACGTGAAGAGCATAGCTTGGAAGCAGCTCGGGAAAATATGCTTTCTCCTGAGCCAAGCAGCCCTGAGAGCAAGAAGCATAAGAAACTTCACAAGGAGTCGAAGAAATCCGGCGCTGGCGGTTTTAGAAAGCTGTTCGGTCGCAACAAGAATCGGCAATCCAAGCTGCCCGAGAATGCCGCTGCTGATGTAAACGGCATGTTAGCTGCAGAATCACAGGCAGCGCGAAGTGCTTCTCCAGCACCGGTTACACAGCAACCGGAGCCCGTTCCCGCAGAGCCAGCTTTGGAGGCCCCCGCGGAACGGCCCGAGGAAAAGACTCCTACACAAACACCGGTGACACCAGTTGCTCCTAAACAAGCGTATGATCCGTCTGTCGATGAAGACCTGTCACGCGTCGATACCACGGATGCTGCGGAGGCTCGTCAAGAGTTCTCTCGCTTCGATCAGGGTCCTCTTCTAGATCAACCTGCCTTCGTCCCTGACGATAGGCAGAGTGTTGACTCTGCCGCGCCGCCACCGATTGCTAGATATCCCAGCAACCATCCTCCTATCGAGGAAGACGACGACGCTGGTGCGCCATCACCAAGCGTTCCCATGCAAGATCGGTGGGCCGCCATTAGGAAGAATGCTGCTGACCGCGCTGCGCGACAGAGCGAGGAGCAGAGTCGGGGTGCATACAGCAAAACCACGGACGGTGATGATGATACTAGTGGTGAAGAAAGTAAGTATGATTTCCCTGCATATAGAACCCTAACCGCTAACGTCATGCAGCCATCGAGTCCCGTGTAGCTCGTATCAAGGCCCGCGTTGCCGAGCTGACGGGTAACATGGAAAATACCACTGGACCCGGAACTCCTCCCGGCCGCCGCTAGGCGCGGTGTTTTAGATGATGACTTGATTACGAAATAATACGGATATCCGCACTCTGCATCCACTTACTTTCCTCTTACCTAGAGTTGCTTCAGAAGCATTCTCTCCTCTAGTAGTATTACGCATACCAAAGCCAGGCGTTGTTAATGCGCCTGGCTTGAGGCTTCTTTTTTCTCATTCCGATGATACCATTAGAACATGCCCTTTCATGTTTCTTTCGCGACCAGAATCAGACTGGAACTTAAGGATTTTTCACTAATTTGAAGTTCGAAGGTCAGATACCAGACCACTACACTTGGAATTATCCGGAAGGACGGGTAATAATTCGGTCTCTTAGCAAAAATCACTTCAAGGCGACAGACGGCGACCCTGGATGGAAGGAGGCATAGCTTGGCTATGGGCCGGAGATTCTTGGGTTGCTGGTTTTAAGCCAGCAAAAAAACACACAATCCAAACACTCTTAAGGCAAAGCAAACTAATCACTTTCAGTCGTTTCTGGTTTTTTTCAATGTTGAGGAGTAATGAGGCGACGAGGGGTGGGAGATACCCATTCACAGATAGGAGGAGGGAGAACTTGGAAGATACCTTAGGTACTTTATTCGAGTCGAGGAAGTGCCAACGCGTTTTCTCTTTTGATTTCTTCGATCACAAATTCGTTTTCTTCGACAGCTGGATTTCGGTGACATGCCGTAGGTTAAGTTGCTATCGGATACTATCTTTCTCTCCAGTCGAGAGCAAGTATACCCAAAACTCCGGCCTCTGCTCGATCCGGAGAGGGGAGTTCGGCGCCAGACTTTAAGACTGCTTCCGTAGATATGCATCGTCTCAATACAATCCTGATGAGCTTGTGAAATTCTTATTCGAGTTGCTATATCGATGTTTCACAGACATCATAAGCAATACTAACATTGTCTAAATTGAACCAACTTCGTGAGTCAGCATAGGTTTCTCAGGAGTTTATCGTACCTATAAGGGAAGAGAACTGGTAACCTACCGACAACTCACTTCTCTACTCCATGTATCGATTTTCCTTCACCTCTTTCAAGTTACACCCTATGCTTTCGCCAGCGTTAAAGATATAGTAGTGGCAGAGTGGGGACTACATGTATGTATAGCGCCACAAGTATCGACCCGATTGTCGTTTGATCGATAAACCGTGTAGCCAATAAGCGAGCCCTAGCAAACACTCGCTTTATAGTGTCCAATAAATTCGTCGCTCCACCACGGCAAGGCTGAGATCTCCGCCGACGCTCCGTCCGAATTGGTGTAGTGGCTAACATTTGACGCTCTCAACAAGAAATTGTGTGTGAACCGTCAAGCCCGGGGTTCGATTCCCCGATTCGGAGTTCTTTTTTCTTTGCCTTGTCTCTATTGCGATTTTTTTTTCTTTTTGCTTTGACTACGGCTGGCCTCAAGGGCTGATGCCTACCTATTTAGGAGTTTTTCGGTGTTGCGGGGACTGATAAATACATCTCTTTGCTGCTGGCCTGGGAAGAAGAGTGTACCGTCGGTATCTATTGAACTCGGATGATATAGTACCAAGGAATAGGTATAGCCTCCGCGTGAGAGTTGAGACGCTATACAGTCCTATTCAATATGCTCCGCCATTCTCGGGACCAATAAGTAGGAGAGATTTGAAAAATCCAGTCGCATGATGATTATGACGATGATTCTGCAACTACACGAAGGCTAGTTATGGCAAATGACAGGGCGAGGCTGAGTCCATGCTGAACTACCTTCGCGAAAAGCGACCGCTCGGTTCCGCTGTGTGAGTTGAGGCTGTTTCATCGTGGAATACACGCCGTATAACCACCCATACAGCCTCAACGGTTCAGCTGAAGCGGTACTGCAGATCGGCCTCGGGCCCGGGACACGGAACCGACAGAGTAGGCGGTCTACCGTATCCATCGATCTTTGCCTCTTACGCAAGTGTGGCTTGACGCATTTTCTGCCTCGCTGTTTCATGGAGATATCCGAACTCCTATCATTCAACCACGGCCACACGAAATTCTACCTAGTTAAGCCCCAACCAAGTCGATAGACAGACGGCCGAGTACCGCTGGGTCGCACACGAGAAGCCACTTACCATCCCGATCGGTCACTGCCAGCGCGATCGGGATACGGGATGCGGCAGCATGAGACAAGTGGCTTGTCTGTATTCAGCGATTCGTTGTCGAGTCCGAGTCCGAATCTTGGTAGAATGTCTTAGATGTCAACTCAACTCAACTCAACTCAACTCAGCCATTCGCAAGCACAAATGTGATATCGCACTCGCTTTCGTGCCTCGTCTACCCCTCAAATTTCCCATCTACTATCTCGTCTCAAATGTCGAATCAACTTTCATCAGCCACAGTCCGCGCTTATCCCGCACCACGCCGCGGCCTGCGCCTATCTATCAGCCTGAGCTGAACTAGCTCCCGGCCTTGTATAACGCGGCCTACAACCAACAGCCCTTATATCAGCTCTACTTAAGTTGCACGAAAGCTCGCCCTGTACCGCACCTATGTCTGTACGTATGCGGCGGGACTCCCTACCCATCCAGGCACCGTATCTGAAGTATGTGGCGCGAGACACGGTGCACATGCAAGCAAGACAGAGTTCTGACCTGCAGCCGGCAACGTGGGTAATAGGCTATGTGAATCGTCGTCAGCAGGCAGTAAATGGCCCAAGAGAGGACGAGCTTATGCGGGTCTGAGACAGGCATACAGCATTCACCACTCATATGGCGAAGTAATTCGTAGCACCTAGTCCGTAGCCATGGTTCTGTAATTCAGGTACGAGCACACGGAGAATAAGGGACCATGCTAAGAGTTGACGAGTTGGGGGCCGTCAACCTGCCTATTCCACCGCTCGACACGCGGGACATTTCCGCATTTACTTGCGATCCGCATACATAACATACGTACACGTACATAGCCTACCTAGGTATGCCGTCGTCCCAGAGAGCCGGGTACCTGCTCCCATCCTCCCTATCTCTCCTCCGACGGGGCGGAGGCGGGTCAGAAACAAGTCTACATATGTAAGTGAACAGAAATAATGCGGCTCCTCCATACCCACACGTCCTCGGGATCCAGAAAGCGGCAGCTCCCAAACTCAAACTCAAGCCTAGGTCCAGGCGCGTAGGTTAGCTCACTCCATACCTACCTACCTACATAGCACAGTACAGCGTAGCATAACATAACATAGCATACCATTTTCCTTCCTTCACCACCCACGCTACCCACGCTACACTAGGCCTCCCGTACCAGGCAAGAGATCAACCGCTAGCCGCCGAATGCGGCAGGAATATCTGCCTGATTCGAGCAGACCCCCCTCGCAAATCCCGAAGGGGTTCTGCAGAGCGAGAGCGAAGAAAATACATACATACTAAGCGCAAGCGCAAGCGCCGAAGCTACCCACTAGACTTCGCCCCCAAGGGCCCTCGTACCATACACCCATACAACCACACACTACACTAGACCTACTACGTAGACCTAGACCTAGACCTAGACCCAAATCCCCCAACCCCTAATCCCTAATCCCCGCCCTATAGCAGAGCAATGTAAAATAGCCCAGTAGATCGTAGACCGGGGCTTTAAGCAGTAAAGGGTCCTGATCCGACGTCATATGTTCCCCGTAGGATTTCAACCACACTAGCTAGGTCGGTATGCGAATCCTCCATTCTACACTACACCAATGCAAATGCCGCTCCTACTGAGACGCTGCCAGTAGCTCGCTATCCACTTCTATTGGCGGCTCTAGCTCCTACATAGAACCCCTATCGAAAATCAAGCTACAGTAATTACCTAAAGTACCTTACCTACCGTTAGCTAAGAAGATCAGGGTAGGTAAAAAGTAACGAATGGCGTCAGCAAGCTTGGCAAATAATCCCAGTGCCGTTGACGCCTTATCATATATGATTCGTCCTACTACGACTACAAGGCAGTAAGTAATATGCGAACATTACGAGCGGTGGAGAAAGGGGTATCGTTCAAAGTCAAGTCAAGTCAAGTCAAGTCGAGGTGAAGCTCAAAATCAAAGTTAATGCTAGTCTCATTCAGGATCTGGTCCATCCACCATTCCTCCGTCCATTCCACCTCTGGTATCTCTAACATATCATATTGTACAAGGTGTTCCTCAACGCCGTCCCATGTTGGTCTCCCTCTCTCAAGCCTGTGAAGTCCATCTCAAACTTTTGTTCCCGGATTCGAATGCGCACAAATTCCATTACTCATTCGTCGTATCCGCCTCTCTAAAGCAGCATCTGCGGCAAAAAAGCTGCCAAAGTCGTGTGAAAACTAGGGTTTAAGGTGAAGTTGTAAAACAAATAAAAATCATGATGAAAACGCCTCAGCGCCACGCCATGCTGCGAAGTGAAATAAGATTGCATGGCGTCAAACATAAACGAGCGTGTCCGCCGCAAGTTGAAGTTAAAGCCAGCAAATGCCAAGTCGAAAAAAAGCAGATAACGAGGTATCCAATAGCTCCTTGTGGGATCCAGTTGTGCAAATGCCCTCCGATGCTCTATAGGGTGTTGTACAGTTGCGAATTGCGGTATAAACATGAATTGAAATCGAAGTAGAATGAAAATGTAGCCAGAGGGTGACTAGCCGTCAACCCTGATTCTTTTAGGCTCGCCGCCCTCTGGTCCATCCGAACCATGGCCGGCAGTTATATCCGGACTCTTCCGCTTGTTGGCGCTCGGTCCGTTATCATCCCTCAGAAAGGAGGGACCCGAACCGACAACTGGCGTAGCGAAATTTAGAGGACTCGGGAGAGTGTTGCTATCGCTCCCCCGAAAGTTCCACTCGGGATAGAAACTACTGGGACTAGGTAGGAACTCATTATTGAGAAACCTAGATGGAAGTGCCGAAACGGGTGTGTCAATGTTCATATTGTTATTCTGAGTCTGTGGAGGCGGCCTGGCAAACGGATTTGGTGGTCCCGTGGCTCCCGCAGACAGCATGGCCGACGCTGAAGGCGAAGGAGGTGGAAGAACTACACCTGTTCCAGGGCCTTCTACACCGTTCCGGCGTGATGCTTGAGTAGCCGTATCCGTGGTGGTGCGAGGAGAAGTAGCTGTCTCACCACCAGTGCTGCCGGCCTCGGACTGGTCCTCGGGAATTTGAACCTTTAGGCGGGGTCGCGAGCCACCACCACCGATCTTCAAGCTGTTTGAGCGAGAAGGCGGGGTAAAAGTGGTCTCGGGGATTGTAGGTATGGAATTGCGGGAATTGGGCAGGTTAGACGTGTTGGAGCGCTGCGGGAGAGGCGGGGACGAATCGGTCTTAGATCGCGACACAGAACCGACATCTACGGATTGTGATCGATTGCCGTCATCTTTCCCGCGGGGCTCCGCGTTGAAGGAAGCCAGATGTTGGGACAAGATCGACCGGTTCTCATCGATCGGTGTGAAGATACTGTGTTGCTTACGCTGCGGCATTTTCTTAATCGCCGATGCTGTATCCAACATAGGCTGACCGGTCCTCTCCTGGAGTGGTTCATGCTTCGGTTCCATTGGCGCCGGAGGCATTTGCTGTTCCGGTGCTGTCTGCTGCATCTGCGACGGCTGTTGTTGGTGAGGCTCTAGATGCTGGTGAGGCGGCTGTGGAGGAGACATACGGGGAGTTTGCTGGGGAGGCAGTTGATGGGTAGGCTGCGGCGGGGAAGGACGAGGTGGTTGCTGGGTTTGTGAAGGGCCTTGCGGAGGATAGTTAGGAGGGACAGATGACCGGCGCTGGTCTTCCATGTAATTTTGCACCTGAGGGTGTTGTTGAGAAGCATATTGATACTGGGCTGGAGCGGGTGGAATCCCGTGCTGGTAAGTGGGTTGATTTTGTGGGTTGTAAATAGCAGGCTGAGGCATATACGCGTAACCGTTGGTGACTGGCTGAGGACCCGGTTGAGGGACGCGCAGGTCGCGGCGGAAGTCATTCCTGGACGATGGTCTGGATGCGATTTGTGGTTGGGGTGTATGGCCTCGAGGCGCGAATGGCATTCCGTTGATGGGAGGCGAAGCGGAGGGAGTATGGTGCCTTAAATGTTGGAAGGGAGGCTGCCCTTGGAAATGAGGAGGGATCATCTGTGGTTCAACAGAGCCTTCATGACCATGTGGAGGAGTGCCTTCGACATCTTCATCATCCTCGTCGTCACCACCGTTGAAGTCGTGAGGGCCTTTGTGCTCATTTGGACCGCCATGCTATTCTCTTGTCAATCATATTGCCACCCTAGCTTCTGCGGGGAAGGGGTAAAACCAACATATTGGTATCTCGTGATTAGGTCGCGCATGTCGCTCGAAGAGTACTCGTAGAGCTTCTTGTTGCTACCGAAGATAAATACGGCGACATCGACAGAGCAGAGCACCGAC